GGGTGTGGGTGTGGGTGTGGGTGTGGGTGTGGGTGTGGGTGTGGATTAAGAAAAGAAAAATACCCACATCTACACCCACACCCACAAAGTATTGGAGAATTGTTTTTCGAGTGTCTCAGAATTTTCTGGAGTGTTATATATCCAAAATTCCGAACACGTCGGTTTCTTTTTTCATGAATAATCAGAATAATAAAACAAAATTCAAATATTTTAGTGCGGTGTATTGTTTTACTACATAGAATTTATTTTGAATCAAGTGTGCAAGTTCGAAAAAAAGCACTTTTGCATGATTGAATTTATGTTGTAATCACATGTGAAAGTAGTTTCTCTACATTGTCAAATTAGTCACGACTATTCACAGTTTACTTTTGCTTCTATTGACTATAATCATCAAAGGAAAAAGTGGAATAGAATTTGAATATTTTTTTTCTCGACAAAAGAAAACTAGAAACACAACACACTATATAGTGTGTAATAGGTCTCCTCTAACTCATCTGCCACTTGAGTGTGACGTCGAGTCTGAGGTTAAAATTTTAAATCCATTGCGGAACCTCACCATTTGCTGTTCTGCATGATTTCTTCGTATTACATGTGCGAAAAATTGTAGAGAATTTGAATTGATTTTTATTTTACAAAATCCTTGAGTAAGAAATATGAACGAAACAAATGTTGAAACTTTAAAAGAAAATAAAAAATAATTTTTTCTGGATTAAGTAAATGAGTCGAACAAACTGAATGGAATTCCTAGAAATTACAACGGGTACCGTCGAAGAGTGAATTTATATTAACTGTATGACTTTTAGCTGCATTTAATTAAATATCAACATGCAAATTATCAACACGTTGTTCACAATATCTTAAAAATTTGCAGTTTTCTCTTCTCATGGGATTTGGTTCAATCCAGAGATCAACAAAACGATAATCCGTATTATACATGCACCACATTTATGTGGTAACAAAAACCAAGAAGAAGAGGCGAGAACCAGTGAACCTTTCACTGTAAGTCAATGAAAAATTTTCTTTTTTGAATAGTTTTCATAAATAATTTTCTTAAAATAGAATAAATAAAGTGTAATCGTTCTATTCATATTTTTATTATTTCAAGGTCTTCTTTTCTAAACATATAAAAAAAAAAGAATTGCATGAATAATTATTAATATGTTAAAATGTGTAAAATTGTTTTTTAATTCTGTTTTTTAATAAAAGAGTTCTCAACAAAAAAATACGATATTTAGTTTGTTTTTTAGTGAATTTAGAAAAATAATTAGTTTTTCTGAGAAGTTTGATTTGATTTTGATTATCGCCATGGTTGATTGTGATATGGTAGGTTATGACTTATAGTAGACATAAATCTCATAAATTCGTCATATGATGCAACACCATCACGATTAAAATCCATTTTTGCCATAACTTGATAAATTTCAGCATCTGAAGGTGACATATTTGCTCGTCTAAGACTTTCTCTCATTAATTTAATTGAAATAAAAACAATTGTATTTAAATCAAATTCCATAAATGCTTTTGTCAGTTCCATAACTTGAGTAGGTGTTAATCTACCAAGAATAGAATCAGTGGCCATGTTTCGTTCGGTTGATTTGTGTTTTGTTTATGGTAGCTATAATGATAAATATTTCACTTTTGAATAATATAAATATGGTAGATTTTTATTTTATTGCTTGAGAAATCAAGCATAACGATACACTTGATTGACTTTCTGTAGACAGAACATGATAAGAGTGTGCATACAAGAACACTTAGTTAATGATCAATAATAATATCTGTATACATGAGAATGTAGGTGATGTATTTTTTGCATCATGTTTTTTATGCATTACCCATGTAAAAATTTTTTCCATTGTAAGCTATTTTTAAGCGACTTAAAATAACTTTTTTCTAAATTAATAACTTAAAAGCACTTCGTTTTGCAAGAATCAAGCGATTAAAAGTTATTTTTCTTCATGAAGCGCTTTTTTTAGCTGAAGAAAAGATTTTTCCAAGTGCTTATCATGGCTTAGTGTACAAATCGCTTAACAGCATCGAAAATTTTCTTATGCTTAAGTGCTGTGAAGTACTTTTACCTAAATAACTTGGAAATTCTAGAAATTTTCTCTGATTTAAGCAGTTTTAAGCACTTAACATGAAAAATGCTTAAATGAGCTGTTGATTTTTCTTAATTCAGTGACCCAAAGCACTTATTGTATGAACTATTTGTGAATGCAAAAGGTTTCAGGATTTTTCTGAAAATTCTGCTCGTAAAACGCTTCTCAACAAGTCTTACCGAGATCTCTTTTCATGTTCAACATTTGCAAAGTATTTTAAATATGGTAATAATATTATCAATGCGTAAAACAGTTTTTTATTTGTGTATGATGATAATGAGAAAATGTTTATGATTTTATTACGATGATTCCACCAAATTTGGAAATCGAATAAAAGTTGCGTAGTTGTTGGATTGTAGATAAAACACACACTTCTCGATGATTTGATTTGCTTTGATGATGCAAGTAGTTGTACCAGAAGAAATCATACCCATCTCAATGGCTTCGTACTCATATTGCTCATCATCAGTGTCACAGTCAAAATAAAAACTAGATGCAAGTGAAAATATTTGAAGAAGTATATCTCCACCATTAACTGTGAATATGCGATGAATCCGTCCGAAATGAATCTCATTGCCAGCTCGATAAAGTATAGTTGAATCATCCACATGTTTGTCCCGACAATAACTGCTTGCAGTAAATCGAACTCGGCCAATGCAAACTGTTGAATAGAATTTAATAGTACCTGAAAATAATTCAGAAATCCTTGGATCAGTAATACGTAATGAGTGTCGTGGTTTGATAAGAGATGATGATTGTTCAGCAGAATGACAATTGTTTATCAAATTCAAAAGAAAATCTCGCAGACCAGAATGCATCATAGGATCGCCGAGTTGAAAACAAGCACTTCTTAAATACAGCAAATTGTTCATTATCTCGGGGGCATGCCGAGTTGTGCTTTTTGTTGAGCGAGTGATAAATCCTATAATTGGCAAAGTAAAATCGCAAATTGATATCAGTTATAAAGAGGATATGCTGATTTCAGTATTCAATTTATCTCTCAGATCTATGAGTTATGACAGGTAATAATACAAAGTGTCGACCATTGCTAGTAGTTGGAAAGTAATAATCCAGTGAATAAGCATAGTATGCCCATTCCTTTCAAAAATGCATAGACGACCAAGAAATTTAGATCCCTAGCATGGTAAAACAGTCTGTGCCATGTTTCCAGCATTCCGGTAAAGTTTGTGGCATCTTCTAGCGTCTTTCTAAAGCAATTTTGCAGAAATTCTCCGGCATAATCTTCATCTTGAGGTGTTTGAAAACAGTCTGTTACCAATTTTCCTGTAAAAAAAATCTTTGAAAATCCAGAGAATTGCCATTCAAACGAACAAACTAGGATCAACAAGCTACATATGATATTCCATGAGAATTTATGCCAAGATCATCGGTTCTATCACGTTTGATAAGATTTTGATAAAGATTGTGAGAATGACCAAAATCCATATAGAATTATACGGCCATAATCCATCATCAAGAGTTCTAATCGTAGCCTGTTGAAATCTTAAGGATATCCGAGCGAAATATATTTTTATTTACGGCCATTACCCATATCGTCTATTTTCGAGAGAAACCGCCGGTTGAAAGGAAAACCGACGGTAATTACCGGTTTTCACTTATTCCTTAATTATCTGTGACTGCTACAACTGATCTGACAATTTCTGGTCTCAGAAAGTGGATTCCAGCTACTAAAATGTAAACTGAACCGTGCGTCACATAAATTCAGAAGATCGTCGATTATTATGGAGAATGGTCAATCCATCCTCCAATAGTTAAATTAAGTGGCGCCATTTTGAATAAAAATCCAATCTCGAAAACCATGAGATTTCAGAAAATGTGGCTGGTACCAGCGGCTCTAACGTGGTGACTAATATGGGAATGCGCCAAATTTGGACTCAATTTCGTCAATTTTTAAAGAGTTTTGAAAAATTCATCCGTTTATGAATGAAAAGAAATCACTGCTTGAAAACCGCGGTTAACAGAGTAATAACCGGTAAGCCGCAGTTTACCGAACGGTTAAGCTCCCGGTTCACCGAACAGTTGACCGCGGTTAACCGGAGGTTTTTCTCCGGTTTTAGCGACATGGGTACTCACGATAAGCTTCATGATGGTTTAAGTATAAATCCAACCCAAAACAATAGAAGCCTGGCTAAGTTTTGAGCTAAAACTAATGAAATGAGCTTATTATACACTTGACTTGATTCAGTTTGACCTGGAAAATCTTTTTCCGACTTTGAATTGAAGTAATAAGTTAACCATTAATATTTCGCTGCCAATAGTCTCTAATATGAAGTGTGCTTGAAGAACGTAGACGAGTCGTGAAATTAACCAACATTTATGAGGAACAGTATATAAAACTGAATCATCAAGTACTTAAACCATTAAAGTCGGGATCCGACTAATCATTATCAATTATAATTTTCGAAAACGGTTCAGAAAGGAATGTCCTATACAATTGATATTCTTCAGAACACTTTGCTATTCATTCAGTTAAGAACTAAACTCACCAAGAAGTGATTCAAAGTTGAAAGTGCTATAACTTGTAAGAGGACCAAAATTACGAATACTCTCTGAAAGATGTATAAGTGAATGTACCACTTGGACATTGTGCCGCTTGCCATAAAGATTAGGAAATTGTAATAAAAAATGATAGCACAAGTTGTGCACTGCTCCGATATCCTTTTCTGTTAATGCACGAGATTCAGCTAAATGCACAGCCAATACCAATTGCTTGAAATGTTCATAATATTTTTTTTTCATAAAGTTCTCGAAAATCGGGAAACCACACAACATCAATACTCTTAATTCACTTCCCTTGTATTTTTTATAGTCGACTAATGAACGAGGACGGCGTGTGGTCGTAGATGGAAACTTGACTCGTTTAAGAGCATCAGCCAAATTCGACAAATACGTGGATATACTCCATGGTTCTGATTTGTATAATGGATTCAACCACAACTTCAGCAAACGTTTCTAGACAAAAAGAAATCAAACGTAAGTTCTTAATAAAACTCACAAAAGCGCCAAGATAAATATTGTGAAGACTGTCCACCACAAATGATTGTCCAAAGTCAAAATATTTTAATTCACGTAAACAGCATGGACCTTTCAAACCCATTTGGCTTTCTGTATGTCTTAATTTAGCAGCTTTAATATCTCGATCAGTAGTTAACGAAGCTAATTCTTCATTGTTCAATTTCATCGTTTCAAGAAGTTCATTATATTGATCATTTGAGCGTGGATTTATAGTTTCATCGGCATTAATTATAAAACTGGTTACATGACCACCACCTTCAGTTTCTACGGTTTCTCCTTGAACAATAAATAGAACAAAAGAGTATCATTTTAGATAATAGAATATTAAGCATCCTTTAAAATTAAATTCAAGTAGATTAGAAAAAAATTATCTGGAAGATAAAACTTTGACATATGAATAGATCCCACAGTTTTCAAGTGAAATATTTGTATTTATAAGTAGTAAAAATTTTCAATGAAAATGAGTTTTTAAAATTCTGATTGATTTTTCTGTATGCTTAAAAATACCAAACAATATAGCTTTGTTCATATCGCCAGATTTGACCTAGCTACTCCTTTTCAACCTTTCTGAGATGTTATTAATCCTCGTTGTTTCATTATATATGTATGTATATGTCCTCAGGTATATTTGTATCATCATGTATAAATGTATGTTCATTGAATTAGATTTTATATTCAACTTAAAGTGTGAGAATACTAAACAAAACGAAAATGCTTTTACCACGAATTGCACATTTTCCACATCCAAATTTTGCTGTGGGCTGTGCGAGACATTGTACTAAACATTGGGCCGGCTTGTCGCAACACGAGCTTACAAGAAAAACTTTGATAAAAGCTTCTTCTACACTTTCACCATCAGTCGACCGTAACTGAAACTTACGACCAGCTTCAAGACATTTTAGTTCGTTCACAATCCCTAAAAATAGTATTTAATATTTAATTTTTCAATCAAAAAGATGTTCATAAACATCAGCGTGCAAATTAAAGGAAAAATTGGTATATCAATACAAATATTGTCGAAATCAGATCTACTCTTTCACGAAGATGCAGCAATTAAATAAAAGGTAAGAGTTTTGTTATTAAAGTATCTTATAGCTTTTGAAATAGTTATTCAATCATGATTCTTTATTCTTGGAAAAAAATTAACTCCAATCTTATTAGACTACAATAGAGTTGAGCAGCTGAATCATCTTTCAAATTATAGCTCAATATAAATGTAATTAAAATAATTTTTCACACTAATTTAAATCGAAATCGATTTGATTGCTTACTCCTGGATTAGAGAAATTCATCATACAGACAGAAATTTAACAAGGTTTTTGAGTCTAACTTTAGTGTTTGTTGGAGTGGAGTAGAAGGACAATTTAAAAATAGCAGTAGAAAGTAAATTTATCAAAGTTTTTCCAACTAGCTCAAAGCCTACCCTTTAAAAATATAGCCATATCATCACGTGATGGCTTTTTGGGCCCTGGCCAAACTCCGGCAAGAATGACATTTTCAAGAGAATATCTTTTTCTACGCCGAATTTCATTGACAACAATCAACACAGGCCATATTGAACTATCTGAGCCTTTGTTTGGCTGCACACCATCAACATTCATTGTTAATGTGATGAATAGATCAGTCTCTTGTTTTAATTGATTTCGATAAAAAACCCCATCGACAATATCACGCATCCTTTTAGAAGGTGGTGATAAAAAATTTTGAAATACTAGGTCAGGTGTATGCAACAAAATCGACTCCAATTGTGATCCAATATCAAAACGGTAAAAAATGGAAATTGATGATGTTGTTAAAATTGTTTGATAGGTAATATGACATTTAGTACAACGATTAACTTCACTTGATGTATCTTTGCAGGATGGACATATTGATTGTTTCTTCATATGGAGATGGGAATTAGATTGAGTATTGACTAATTTTCTAGATTTCCATAAGCTGGTTGGTACATTAGCCACCCGAAGAATTCTTAATAGTTTCAAAATATCTGACAAACATCGATTTGATAGACGATGCCGAGCCTTAAGAATTAGAAGTGCAGCAGATATATCAATGGCTTCCACACGTCTACCACTGTTATTAGAAGAGTTTTCGATTTGACGTCTATAAAGAAAAACTTGATCTCAAAATAGGCATTATACAATAAAAATTCTCACATAGCATCGTCAAGGATTGAACCTTCTGGCACAGCTGGAATTGATGTCATGTTTTGATTCTGGTTATTACTAGCAGATGTCATATCAACATCAGGAATCAAGTCGGTTGATGCACTTCTCGATATATTATCATCAGATCCTTCATTCAGACTCTTCATCATACTTGCCAATTCCATTCCTAATAATATATGCATAAAGATATATTGTGAGACATTACTCTCAATATTTTATATAGCCTCACCAAATGCAACTTTAGTACTCATACTGCGCTTCTTTCGATATTGAACAAAGCGAGACATTTTGACAATGAAAATATTGATTGCGATCTATATCACAAAAATCATAATATTCGGTTTATTTTTATAAATGACATTTTCACAATGCATAATTTATATATACATAAATATAACAAACATTCAAAATATCATTCTCAAGTAATTCTAGTTCACAAACAAGAAAGTTCAAGATACAGTTCATAGAAATAACATAAAAATGTATTAAATATAAAATCTACTACTCATACGTAAAGTTCACTACTTAATTCATCAATTTCACGAACAACTATTGATATTAAATGCCATTATTATCAACGTCATTTTCTTCGTTCTCACTGTCAACTTGTTCTAATTTTCTTTTACAACAATTAGCAGCTTCAAAAACGTTACGACAAGCTTTAATTAGTTCACCATCTGATTTGCCTCGTTCAAGCGGATTCAAAAGCCGAGCCATATCTAAAATCAAAACCATCGTATTAAATATCGTTATAATTCTTTCACTTACCTAAGATTGCATTTTGCTTTTTAACTGGAACATTTTTCCATGCCATGCCAATTCTTTCTTCTTTTGAATAAAGATGACTTACAATTGTACGACATGCTTTTGTTATCGAATCACATCGTGAAAATATATCGATTTGACTTTCATCTATCGATAACAACGAACAATAATCGGCCAAAGCATCACCAATACCTTCTTCGCTAGATTTATCACTAGAATTTGGATCAGTATCACCCGATAGTAATCGTCCCATTTCGACGAAAAATTTTATCGTTTTAGGATCTCTAGGTCTAGCTAGAATAGAAAATACATTTACTTTTAGTTACTATACAAGTTTATAATTAGATTACGCATCCAAGTTGTTTTGTAACAATCAATTTGATCAGAATATCTTTGACATTGTTGCTTTAACAAAGAATGAGCTGTATCTGAGACTGGTTTCTTCACTGGCAAAGCTCGAAACGATTTTGAAGTTTTCGACGGGTGTATATTTTGTACCTTTGTTTCATTACAAGAAGCTTGCATATGAGTAGAATTATCTAAAATATCAGTTACAACAATTAAATAAAAATTATTTCAAGTTTATTGACTTCATTAAATTTAAAAAAATATAATTTCCATCGTATTTATCTCAAATTCTTTTAAAAGCATTAGCATCAAATAAAAAATGGTGATTTTGTGAAGTGAGTTTCAAAAACTAATTAGTTTCGTTTAAAGAAACAAATTTTATTTACCAAGAAATATCCTTAGCTCACTGCTTTGAATGATTGTTATAAAATTAAAAATCTAGCAAAGAACGTTTCAACACAAAGATATAATATCAATTTTCAGTCATGAATTAAAAGAATTTTTATACAAATTTTAGTGATCTATTTCGATTCAAAGTTGGCTATAAATCATCTGTTATTTTTGATTCAGTCGAGTAATCTATTTAATTTGATAATAACCTTATTATGAGAGGACATTAAAGAAAAATCATTTTTTATTTTAGATTGAACTTATTTTTTACCTTTCAGGATTGTTGAATTATTATTATCAGTTTGTACATCATCATCATCACGACCATCAACAATTTGTTCATCAATAATTAATTCTTTTTCTGAGTTTGAATCAGACGAACAATCCATATCCTTCAAAATGTGTGCTGTGTTGGCTACTTCCGGAATAGAAGATGTTCTAGTTACAAACGATATTGTTGATGAGATGATAGGCGCAGCAGTTGAAACATCAGCACGTGGCACTTTTTTAGATTTATCACCACCAACATGAACGACTTTACGTTTCGTACTTGATGAATCACACGAATGATTATCATCATCATCAATCGCTAATCTTTTGGTTGCACCTTTTCGTACAACAGCTGCCAATGGTTCAGGCAATGATGTTGATGATGATGATGGAAGAGTTGATGAAGATTCAGATGATGGTAAAGTTTCTTCAATAACAGTTTTTGTTGCTTCACATTGATCCTTTGTACCTATTATATGAAGACAACAATAAGATCATAATTAAATATTTTAGTGATTTTAATTAAATATTTGTAAAACGATTGAATTTCGATCGACTAAATTTTTTCATGTAGAATTATAAACTATCTATAATAATATTTATTTTAAATTGGTCGAACGTACCGAGAACAATTATTTTACCACGACCACGATCATTTCTTGTTTTTCCATTCCAAGAAACTTCATCACCAACTTTTAGTTTGTTTTTATTTCGATGAAAAATCAAATCTTCATAATTGATTATGTGAAGGACTGCATCTTTTGTTTTCGTTAAAACGTATTGAATCTTCATACTGCCGTTGTCTTGCTGTGGTGCCATTTGATTCGGAAAACGAAACAAAACGATAATCAGAAGCTGGACGTAAACGATAAATTAGTTCTAAAACAATAAATTTAACGAGACAATTATTTTTAAATATTCGTCTACAAGAAACAAATAAATATCTAAACACAGCATAGTATGACGTTGTTTATTCAAATAGGCCAGCTATAAAAGAAAATACTTGACTAAAACTATATCACTTTTTTCTTGTTTCTTCATATATCTTCTCTTCTCTATTCTTCCTACGAACATCCAATGTTATCAATAGATATATGGGTACTTGAATATAACGACATCTATCGAAGAGAAAAATAATACACAAAGAAGCGGAAAAAATCTTTATGATCACTTGTCATTTTAGTATTTGGCTTTTGAAATCTAAACTATTTGATCTACTTGATCTATTTGTACTACAAAATCTCAGTATTGTAAGAAAATTTTTATAAATCGTACCGTGAAGAAAGACAAAAGACAGAAGGTTCTTTCTTTAGATAAATCAATATGATGATGCTGATCGGCACAATGGCATTATGTAGAACTACATTTTAGTATAATGTACAGGTATTTTTATTTTTAATTTTATCTTCATTTTCATTTTCCTTTATTTTATTCGAAGTAGTTAGAATCAGTATGTAACTTTTGTTTTTTTTAAACAAGATTCTCTCTGTTTTCTTTTCGTTGCAGCTTTTTCAGATAGTAAATATTCTTGTACAGCATGGAAATGACAACAAATCATTCTTTTGATATACTATGTAACTGGTCTTCAATTTAAACGATTGATTTTATCAATTGTCATGTTGGTTGGCATCAAAAAGTTATTATGAATCGAGAATAGAAAGAATAACAACCTTTGTGCAGCAATGAGAAGTACGTATTGTATTTTCTAATATTTTTGGTATATCTCTACATACTTCTACATGTCTCATAGTACTTCTAACTAGTAATGCTCTTCTGGTTTCCTTGGTAGAATTCATGTCGATAGACGAGGCTATCAAAATATATGAGAGCATTATAGATGAGGTCGAGGATCATATGCATGTGTATTTATTCTGTCAGTTGAAAAACCGATATAGATAGTAAAAGTCAGAAATGGTATTCATATATTTTCATATTTCTATAAGTTTCGATGTACTTCAACTTATTTCCAAAGTGTTGTTATTGATTAGGAGGTATCTCGGAACTTAAAATACATAGCAATTTCCAGCTACACTTTGGAAAAAGGTTGAGGTACATCGAGACTTATAGAAATATGAAAATATATGAATACCATTTCTCACTTTTACTATCTATATTGATTTCTCAACTGACAGAATAAATACACATGCATATGATCCTCGACCTCACCTACAATGCTCTCGTATATTTGATAGCCTCGTCTACCGATATCGATTCTATCTAGGAAATCAAGAGAGCATTACTAGTTAGAAGTACTATGAGTCGTGTAGAAGTATGTAGGGATATACCAGAGATCAAACAAAGAGAAATGTGCTCCTTAAAGTGGTTATCAGCACTTAAAATCATAATTCTAAGAACTTTAAATCGCTTAAAAATATGCGCTGGAAGGTGCTGAAAAGGTTAATTAATTAAGTGCTTAAAAGCGCTTATGTCTATGATTTTAAGCGCCTTTAGTGCCTTAAAAATGTGCGCTGAAAGGTGCTGTTTAAGCGAAAATTTAAGCTGTATTAAGCTAGCTTTTTTGCTGAAATTTTCACATGGGCAGGATATATATGTTAAAAATTATTTTACAAATCGTTCTTATCAATAATATGAAAAGTTGTTTTGTGTTTATTTGTAAATATATCGTTGGTCAGCTAGATGTTAAAAACGATAATCATTTATTATTTTTCTTCGATGAATTTCTCTTTTAAAAAATGTTCTATTCATCACTATTGTAGAGTTTATTTATGTCTAATGATTGGTGTTCTCGAATATTAAAATACAAACGAATTTCAGTTCACGATGATGAATAACAAAAAAGTTTCAAGCTGTTTTCAACAACCATAATTAATAATATCATTGGCTAAAATTTCAACGGTTCGGGATGGTCAAGATATTCAATTTGATTTTTTTATCAGAAAGATTTGAACTACATATAGAGATCATAGATATGAAACTACTCAGTTATATTTATCATACTGATCATATTTCATTCATAAGAATCTTTCCTTTATTAGAGCCGAACAATTTCAAATCGTTATCTCTATTTATTATTGAAATCTTACAAATAAATAAATAAGAACGAATTTCTTCAGTATAACAGAGTTTTGCTGAGCATTAGAAACGCTTAAGAATATTTTGTTGTTGACGCACTGAATACGTCTCTCATTGACATTTTACTCATTATTATCGATTTTCATGACTTTCAAGATCGAAAAATATGGATTTTAAAGCACTATTAAAGTTCTAACTTCAAATATCGAGCTTGCAGTTTTCTCGAAGTACGATGAACGCCTTGGATTAAGTTCAAAGACTTAATTATGGCCACAATAAATTAGTCTTCTATTAGAATTTTTATTTCATCTAAAATAAAGACTTCAATGTTAAATCTCGAGCTCATTTTGTTGAACTAATATTCATGGACTGTCAATCTATATTATAATGGGTTCTAGTTTACAGTTGATTATATTTATAGAGAATTTGATAAAGATTATATTCTATTGACAATATTATGTTAACTAGTAGAATTATCCAACTGTAAATATATAAAAGTCTAGAATAAAAATCCTGGATTTTAGCTAATTTTATCATTATATAGAGAATTGTATTATTCTAAGAAATAAGAAGTCTTCAATTTGTGTTAAGTAATTATTTAAAATAATAATTATATAAAAATGTTTCCTAATCAAAGTCAATGATAAACAAAGCATAAATATTGTTCAATTTAAAGATTAATGAATAACTAGATGAATTATTTTTCAACGATTTATTCTTTCGTTTATTATATGATGATTTAAAAATAAAAATTATTTATTTGTTTGATTAATGATAAATTTCACTGATAATATATTTCTTTTTGTTTTTTTCTTAATTCTCTTATATTTATTTCACATTGATTTATGTCGAAAATTTGAAAATATATATTGAAAAAATGTTTTTCACTTTCAATGAATATATATCGAAAATAATCATTCTTTTATTTTCTCTTTCTTTTAAAATAATTTTTCAAGAAAAATCATTAATGACATTAATAAAAACGGCAGAAACAAAAAAAACGATTTGTTTGTTTGTTTACTTGATTCGATTTGAAATGAAATGTTAATATACATATGTATATAAAACAAAAAAACAAAAAACAAAATGAAAACAAAAAATGACATGGCGACTTATATTTAATAGTTGAGAGAATATTTAACATTAGTGATAAAACAATAAAATAATATGACTGTAGACGAAACATCAATAGAATTTAAAGAAAAAAGTCGTTCAATACGAATACGTGAAAATAATCGTCTTTGTGAAAAAGGAAATTATGAAACATATGGGTATATTAGAGGAAATCAATCTTATTCAAATGGTATTCATACTATTAGAATTAAATTTGAAAAAACTGAGTAAGTTTTTTGTTTTTTTTTTCTATAATTAATTATATTTATTAAAATAAAATAAAAAACGAAAAGATCATCAAATATAAATAATAATGAATGGTCTCCATGGATATTTATTGGAATATGTTCAACAATAGATAAATCAGCATTTGGAGATGTTCGTTATCATAAATTACGTTCAGCTTGTGGGTGGTCAACAAATGGAGATATTTGGATAAATGGAATGGGAAAAAGAATTCAATGGCCAGGTATTCCAATTGAAAATGATATTATTCAATTAACTATTGATTGTGATCAAAAAAGTTTAACACTATTTAATGAAAGAACACATGAAAAAACAAAACAAATTCAAATTGATTATGAAGATAAAACATTATTTCCTTGGTGTTTTTATCTTGTTATGGCTAATCAAGGATATAAATTACGTTTATTGTAAACATTTTTCTTCATTTTTTACCTCATTATTATATTCAATTAAGAAATTATTTATTCAACAATATATTTAAATAAAACCATTTATAATTATTTTGTTTTGTTTTGCTTTTCTTTTCTTTTCAATATTTAAACATATATAATAAGATAAGAATTTATTCAATATGAATAAGATTTTCGATTAAATTTTTATAAAACTTGACAAAATAAAAAGAATTTGTTTTTTAAAAGATAATTATTTTTCTAATCACTTTTTTAAAAAGAAAATTATTCAACGGTAATATAATAATTAATATTATTAATATATATTATTTGTAAATTGTTTTTAATTATTTATTTATTCATTTTAAATAAACGAAATAGAGTTTGTAGAACTAATTTTCGACCTGACCAACATAAGAACTTTTTTGGAAAAAACAATAAATTTTTTGTTTCTATTCTCATTCAGTGAACAAGTTTGAATAAAATATCTCAATAGTTATTGAACAATTTCAAGGCGAATAACAATTATTTTCTTCGTCACATTTTTAAAATAATTTGACATTGTTATTTTATTTTCATGTGACATTTTTTTTTCTCTTCACAATTTTTATCGAAAAATAATTTTTCATAATAATAAATACTGTTAAACAATATTGGATTAGATATTCTCTTTCTTTCTCTCTTTTATTTACAAGTACTTTTAAATAAATTGCTTTCGTTAACATAACAATAAAACATTAAATTAAAATGATAGATTCGATTTATTATTCTCAGATCATACTCAACGAAATGAAGAAAAAAAAAAGAAGCTAGGCAAAAACTTAAAAACAAACTTGAATTGTCAAATGTTTTTTATGTCTATACTTTTTTATTTAATAGAATAGTTTTGAGTTTTTCAGTTAAATATATATTGATTATTGTATAGATATATAAACTATTATAGATAATAAATAGAAATAAATATTTTAAGAATTGATTGAATTCTATTAACATTTGGAGAAAATGATAATTTGTCTCTATTATTAATATCAATAATGGATTACCATCGTAGAGAGTATAATAATTAAAAATTTATATTTCTTTCAACAATATTTTATAATCAGTTAAGAGAAAATATTTAATTGTTTTCTTTATGATTAGAATCGACTATTGTTAATAAATATATTTGTTATTTAAATTCTATCTATATTATTATCTTAAATATCTACAATTTAAAATGAACGATATAAATATAATATAGATCGATTTATTTATTTATTTTTATTGATAATGATTGATTGTTATAGAAAGATAATTCGAATAATAAATCTTGATTATATATATATGTGTGTTCAAGGTAGATTTCTTTGTTGTTGATTGATATTGTTTTACTCTTGTAGAATAATAGAATAAACATCTTCAAATAAATTAACTCATATAAATAGTTATTGAATATGTCGAAAATAAATATAATCGTTATCTTAATTGATAAATAATAATAGTTGATAATCATAAGAGAGAATTAAATCAGAATGAATATCAATATGAAAATGTTGAATTCTTGTTCAGTGAACAAATTTGTTTAAATGATTTTGTTTTGTTACAAATTAAAAATCTCTTGTAATCATTGAAAAATTTATGATAATTTAATATGAGAATGTATTTATTTTATATTGATGATAATCTTAACAAAAACTAAACAGATAAATAGTGATAGTTTTTCTATTTGTTTAAATATAATCAGTTATTTTTCTTGTTATTGGTGATTTTCGAAATTTCCTTTTCAATATCTAATTATTAACTTTTTATGGAAAGATTTAATAAAACAAATTTTCTTTTAGAAATAATATAATTAAATACATGAATATTTCAAATATTTTTATTTTTGTTTTGTTGAATAATGCAACCATATAGAGTTTTTTATTATATTTAACTTAATTTAATATCAATTATGAATTTATTAGAAAACAACAAATTGTTTGTTTTTTCAAAGATTTTATTTATTTAAAAAGAATCAATTTAAATGTAAATTAAATGAAAATAAAAGAAAATATATTCTCATTCTCATTTTGAATATTTTATTTATTTATTCATTATTTGAGAATGAATAATTAAAAATATTTTTTCTTATTAAATTTAAACGAGAAAAATATGTTAAAAAAACCTGTTCTCTATGAACTGTTAAGATAAACAAATCTATTTTAATTGTTTATAAAAATCTTGATTAACTATTTAAAATAATAACATTACTAATAGATAATATCTTAGATTTATTATTCGAAATTATAATAAGAATTTTCTTTTCTATAGAAATTATTGTAGTTTATTCAATAAATATATTATCATAATGAACATTTTGTTTTTTGTCGAAATTTAATATCAATATATTTTTTTTGTCTTTTGATAAAATTTGTCAATTTTTGTTCAAAATTTTGATCAATCTCAAATCAATATGAAAATAGTTGATCGATAATATATTTAGATTAAAATCATATATTATTATGAACGAAATATTAATTCTAAAGTTTCAGGAAATAAATTCTATACTAACTAATTAATAAAAGTTTACTCTTTATTTCGAAAATAATAGAGAATTTATTTTAAAAATCTCAAATTTCTACTAAATATTAGTTGAAAATTGAAATATATTAATAAATATCATTTAAAACAATGAATTATTTTTTTTTTCTTATAGAAAAATTCATCTGATTTCTATCTTGAAAATTGAAAATCTAATTTATTCATTTAAATTAATTATTATCAAACTCTAATATCAATCATTTTCAGTTTATTATTCAAAAACTAAACATTATAAATATAATTTATCGATGTTTTATATAATTCGGCTATATATTTAACATTTTTATAAATAAAAAATCATTATATTAAAAAAAAACAACTTCATATGTGCTTTCACGAATGTCTAGAGTGGACTAAAAAGCAAGAAAAACCTAAGGTCTTATTTTAATTTCGTCTTTACAGATGAATAATAAAATCTCTTATATTTATTCCATACAGAAGGTAGTGCTAGTCAGAGGGATTTTATACACTTTTAGGATTGTAGCAAAACTGATATTTTATTGTTGAATTTTACTGTTAGTTTTGTTTTTTGTCAATTGAATTAATTTGTAGTATTAATTGGATTGTCTTATTCTTCTTTGAACTTCTTCATGATAAAAGAGTACAAAAACTAATCCAAATATTATTTATTCTGAAAATCGTTTGAGTCAGACGAAATGAGATAATCGAATTCGACAATAAAGCAATCATTCATGTTAAAATCACATACTTGTATACGAATTACATCGATGTTTTTTTTTTAAATAAACTATTAAATCAAAATACTTTTTATGTAGTATACATCGAACTACACGACTATCTATTTATATGTGATAGAAATATTTTGATCTATCCTAATAGATTGTTAAACTTCAACAAAAATTGTTCAATAATATAGGAATGAACAGCACGAATTATTTTAAAGATTTTTCTTATCTATAATTAAATGAGATATACTTTTTTTAATAATATTATTTTTAAACGTTAAAAGCTTCTTTGATAATCATCTTCATTGAATGAAAATCTCGAAAAGTTATTGTTTAGTGAAGCATATTCAGAGAAATATTTTTGTTTTTTCGAAGAAATGAATTTCTTATGAATAAAAATTTCATCAATAACAAAAGATAGACAAAATCGAGAAGAAAGTATTCTACTCATTTCGACCTTTGACCTTAACATATCAGAATAACAACCGAGAGAGTTTTGTTCCTTATTATTATCAAATTTCGACTTAATCGATCAAACTGAACGATTCCAATTGATAGATAGATATTATTTATTCTTTACTTTTTTTTATCATCGAATACAATTCTTTCAATTAAAGAGTCTCTATGAGCTTTCTACACTGATTATATATTAACTTTATTATTTTCTATATTTGTTCATAATATATATTATTAATAGCAGAAAATACAAATAAATCAATGATAAACAACAATGAAATTCAATTTTATTTCGATGAGATAATTTAAGATGAAAATAAGTTAATAACATATATTAACTTTCCTATGATCAATTTTCAAAAAACAGAATTATTTGATCAACATTCTCACATAGTTAAATAGTCTTCGACATGAACAAATGACTGGATTCAGTGAATTTCCGTCGATTTTCTGTACCTGGGAACGATGTGATCACCATATTTCTAGAATCTGAATCCGTTATAAGCGCTCACAATTATTTATTCCCAAACACTTACAAATCATTATTTTATAATTATCTTGCAATCGAAAAACAGCATCTCCCAAGCGAACAGACACTAATCAATAATAATTGACTATCATTCATTATTTTCCTCGACATCTTCTGCTAAAAATAATAAAATGTTCTACTTTAAAGTGTTCAATTTTTGAATATAAAATAGGTAGATACTTTTTTTCAGAGATCCCTCGCTTTGTACACTTGTAGAAATGATCTTTGCTTTTGTTTGAACACATATATGATAATCATTTTGTAATGATCGTGGAATGTAAAGCTCCTGATTACTTCTCTAGGTTATTTAGCCTGTTGTCACAACGGATACCTTTAAAGTCATCGTTTTATTAAGTTTTCTATAGTTTATTATGGTATTTTCGTAGAATTGTGTTCGTTTCGATTGTATAGATTATGATGTTGTAGGATGATTAGCCTTATTTTTTTGTGAGAATTCTAACCTAATTAATGATCAATTTTATTAATAAAATAAAAATGAAGAATTTCAAAAATAATTCTGAATGACTAATAAAAAGAGTTTTGTCTGAACAAAAGTTTTAATCATTGTGAATAACAAACTGATATACATAGAAGATAATTCTCATTATTAAATATATATATTAGATTGAAAATAAACTGAAGAGAAATGAAAAAGATATATTTTATTTCTTCAAAAGTATTCTCCTGGCCATATTGTAGCTTTTCCATCTTCTGTTTCAAAACCCGCTTTGATTTTCTGAAATAAATCATCTGTTAATCGAATATTTCGAATCATAATATCTTGATTTTGCTCATAAATCAAATCATTATTGTCCCATTCCAGTGACTTCAACGTTGTATATTGAGGAAGTGTGTGAAGAAGAAAGTTTTTGTGACCATATCGACGACGAATTTCTTCGGCAGCCATATTAAGTAAAGTTATCTCCGAATCTATATCAAGTGCTCGAAATTCTGATATAGATACGTTGTATTGTTTACCATCTGGTTGACTGATTACTATATATCCTTTTTTATTCTGTAACATACAGATAAAAGCGAAATCTTCTTTCCAATGCCAACCGATCCAATGTTCGAACATTAAAGAAGAATCTCGATCAAACTGGTAAGAACGTGGATGAGCAGTATAAAGTTCGAGTAGTTGATCATAAAATGAGAGAGATGATGCCGATATCCATGACATATCATAATTGCAAGAAAATATCTTTTCAGGTATATTAATAACATACGATGTTCGAATTGTAAGAGGTTGCCAGCCTAATGATAAATAATGATTGGAGCGTCCAGTTCCTAATATTGATATATCGAACGCTTCTTGTTCCATCTTCTTAATTGCTTGTGTAAGAAGTTGTCGCGATAAACCTTGATTTCTGAATTCTGCTAAAGTGGCCACATTGGAAATAACACCACACAGAAATGTTTCATTGTTGACTGATCTCAAAATCATTCGTCGTATGTGCACAACACTGACTAATATATTATCATCAAACCAAGCTCCCAATGTGTCTCCTTCTTGATAATGAGGTGAAGCTGTGGACAAAAAGTATCGCTCAAAATATCCATCACTTTTTGGTTCAAATACTGTTTGCCAAAGTTTAAGTGATTTTTCTTGTTCGTTTTTAGTCACATAACGATAAGTGATTGATAATTGAGATTCCTGCAAGATTGTCGATGACAACATTCTATTGCGTCAATTTATACACAAGAATAAATAGACGATATCTATATTTGAGAAATAATCTCATTTATTGTCTTTATTCAATTATTTTTACGTCCTTAAATATTTAAAAAAACACACTGAATTGTTATAAACAGTCTTACGTCATGTCATTTATCTGTTTTTAGCAATTATTAAAGGTATAAAACACAGGAAAAAGTCTATTGGTATAATATATAGCCACTAATATGTAGACATTAGATATTAAATCTAGATGTCATGTCAGAATGACAGAATTTCGAAACCGACACAATATAATAACAAGAGGCTGATTTCATCGAACGGCTAAATGAAGCTATATCATGATGAGAATATTTGAAAAACTTAAAGATGCTAATCAGACACAATCACAGACTGTGATAGAATGTTTATTATGATTTATGTTCATGAACGGTATGTCAATAGAGGATCAGTAAAATATATTAATTAGTTCATTATTGTATTTTTGATGGATGAATGAAATGAGAAAGGAGTGAAGAAATGTGTTGCAAAATAAACAAAAAAAAGTCTACCCTTCATTAGTAACAATAGCTATATTACTGTTCACCTTTCAATCCATCAGTCATTGAGATAATAGCATTTTAGGGAGACACTTTTGACGCATCCTCTAATCTTTTTATAGGAAGGAATTACCTATGCAACTGAAAAGATTTCTTGTTAATTGATTACTGACAAAGATAAATTATTTATTGATTATTCAGTGCTTAGTAAGGAATTTGTCAATGACATAATCAAATATTGATCAAAGTGACAATAGACAGTAGATGATTTACCTACCACTTTTCGACATTTTTAGCTGATATCAATATCATTAGAAATGTATCAATCTTGGTTATACTGATTGTTGAGCGGGTTGAATCTCAGCTCACTTGAGTATTATTTCTGGTTGAATACTTGTTCGACAAGCTATTTTATTGAACTGACTGAATATTGTGAATGTTTATATTTGGCTCTTTACATGAATCTTATAGCAGCACGAAAAGTAATCTTATCATATTCGAATGTTTTGACAAAATATTAGCCTTCAGACTTGTGTGAAAAAAAGCTATTGGTTGTAAGAGATAGAACATCGAATATAATGCAGAATGCACAACTTTCGAAAGGTTTTTATCGTGAGAAATATCTAAAAACATCCAAAAACTATATTTTTCATAATTTAGCCTAATATTCATTTCAATAGTTATGACAGTTATGAAAATATTTGTTCCAGATAGAGATCGATGAGATCTATTTATCGATATTAGATTCAGTCATGTTATTAATCAAGACTCGTCTCAACCAGGTCATTTTTTCTACAATAGGCTATTGTGACTCTTCCTATGACTAAAATGTTCCTTTTATGATTCGTATGAATTAAGAAAATGATTGTTTCAGATAGAAATCGATGATATCTACCACATGATGTTATATTCAATGGTACTGATTGATATGATCTATCTGTATTGAGCAAATTGAAGCAGAATCACCTTGGGGAATATTTTTTAGTTGATCTAGCCATATACCTGTCATGATATGCTGAATAACTGATAGTGAGTTTCTGAATAATCCTTAAAGATACATGGATTGTCAATTGAGTTTCGAAAGATGCTATTTTCGTTATGAGTCATCAAAGTAACTTGTAAATTTTTGCTGACAAACTTGCTTAATTAAGCTATTATAAGTATTGTTAGGAACACAGTTCTAGGCTAAGTATTACTGCTATAGAACTCATGATTCCGACATTTATCATTGTCATCTATACCTATTAGAGAGCACCCTAGCATAGTACGTACATTCAGATTCTGTGTATATATATATATATGTACACGGGTGTATGAGTTTATATGCAAGTTTTTATTTCGCTTTTTTTCTTCTGTTCTCTTTCTTTTTGTATTTATATATTCTTCATTTCATTGCATTGTAAGTATCTAGATTAATCACTGTCTGTATCTGTGAGAATGATTGAGCTTCTAGGGGTGTGGCACAGTAAGGAGCCAAGAGGACATATCCGAAAATAATCTTTTCCACAATCTAACCGCTTGCGTCGATACGTACATATCTGATCTATCATTTTCTAAAATAGAGGTTCTCAAAATTTTATAAAACTCTAGAAAATAGTCTGACAAAGATTGAACCCAGAAATAGGCATAAATAAACAATATCAAGCTGCTCGATAATATAACACAATTTTTTTTGCAAGCAAACAATATCTCGAAAAACTTGCTTACCTATGAACTTTATGTTAAAAAAAATTATTGTAATCCATTTTAAAATAGAGTAGAAAACCACGAGTTTTATACGGAAATACTACCGGAAACCTTGCCATTTCGTATATTGAAAACCTTACAAAGAGGTAATGTCTGATCGAGCGCGCATTTTCACCAAATATATCAACATATGTATTTTAATTACTATAGAAAAGCCAACTCTTGAAATCTTTCCTTGGCTATTTTAGATATTTTCTCCGAATCACAGGTTTTTGACCGAAAATCAACTTTTAAACATTCATGTTACATTTTGAGGAAAAACTAAGACGATATTCAGTATAAATGCATTAAACTACATCGAATGACATGTAGCTCAACATATTTAAAAAAGAAAATTTTGTTTTTGAAAAATCCTTTTATTTTCTTGAAAACGATTTTCCGAATGGTATTCTGTCATTTCTAGTGAAATGAAAGCCAATTGGAAGCAAAAAAAGTCACATATCCGCCGGCTTATGCTAAAGCTCCCGACTGTGCACTATATGAAAAGAGTTGACCACTATATTCAATAGTCAAAAACAAACTAGTTCATAAAACTGTGAGTTGTTACAGATTCGGCTATGATAGATGTCTTGAAAATCTGAGTTAAAAAGTTTGTTTTTACCTTTAAGTATAAGCTTCCTCTCAAATCAACATTTTTACTTTCGAGACGTTTCTATGATAATCTTGTCTAAGAAATCTTTTTTCATAAGTAAAACTTCAGATGAAAATTGTAACAGTTGAATTTAGATGATTTACTTTAATATAAAGTAAATATCTAGTGAATTGAATTAAATGCAACTGGAAACAAGGCAACAAGAATATTTTATAAATTTCAATCTAAATCATAATTAAAACAATGTGCAACAGAATAAAAATAAAAAAAAAGTGAAATCTGAATTTTTCATCACTTATAATTGATTTTTAATAAATTATCTTCAAGATTATCAATTCGATTATGGTGGTTATAAACATATTTTCATATTTAAATAAAATTGCACATAAGTTTTATTTTTCATTCTTTTTATCAAGAATCGAATCATTCTCATTTATATACTCACTATTTGACGAGATAATTAAGACATTCTCACACTCTCGATTCATAGAACAACACGAATTTATTTATTCATCTATAAAACTAAGATTTTCAATTTGTGAAATTATTCAAAAACAAAAAACTTGTGTTTCAATTGATAGACAAGATTATAAATCTTGACAAAATATTGTCTTATGGATGAGTAACAATCTTGAAGTAAGAGCTAGAGAAATGAACATTTGATATGATCATCAATCGAATTGAATATATAAATCGTTAGCTAGTCAATTGAGAATTACATAAGTCTTGAAATAACAAGTCTTATTTATGAGAATAATAAAATAAAAAAATGAGAATAAACTATTGATAATAAATCAGAGAAAAAAGAAAAAAAAATCAAAATGAGAATGAGAATGAAAAAAGATAAAGGAGAATATAAATGACGATTTGTTATTATTTGAGAATGTTGAAATAAATAATAAAAATAAAATTTAAGGACAAATATTCGACCACCAATTACATCGATTTAATAATGAATTGAATTTTGTTTTTAATGGACATTTAATTAAAAAAGGTATTTTATTTGAACATAATATATATTGTCGACAATCTGACAAATCGGAAAATATTCCATTCGCTTTTTCACATTCAAATACTATTTAAATAATATTAAAAGACGAATTTTATTTTGATAATTCGAAATGTGATATATATATATATATAATTACCTTTATTTGATTGTTTTGATAAGAATTCTTCACTTTTTTCTATAGGTTTTATTATTGAATTGAATTTGCCGTCCGAAGAACAATTCTATATAAATTATATTAAAAAACATATTAGATATTTAAAAATAATATTTTTATAATAGACTTTTAAAATATTTTGACAGATATTTAGATATTTGGTTTTTTTTTTAAAATATATATAATTATTTGATAATTAATTAATAAATAATAAGAATAATATGTTCTGTCAACGCCAAATAGAATAAACCAACAAAAAAAAACAGAAAGAAAGTTTTTGTTATCAATAATTCTATTTAACATTCTAATTTATATCTTTTAATCAAGGAAATTTATTTTAATATTTGTTAAAGATTTAAAAAAATCTATATCTAAATAGATATAGTTATAAATTAAACTTACAGAATGTTGATATGTACATATTTTTTCTTTTGTTGAAAAAGTCATATATTTAGGACATTGTAAATGTGAAATAGGTTTACTATTATTTAATTGACATAAATAATAATAACGACAATCAGTTTTATCTTCAATTAATTGATTTTGACTAATTCCTGAACATAAATTATTAATTTTAGTTGAATTTTTAATTGTTGTTGTTTTTAAAGATGATTTATTAAGTGAAAATATTTGAGATACAAGTGAAGTTATTGGATATTGACCACGATTACATGATAAACCGATATAATCATCCATATCAATGTAATGTACAAGTACACCAGCTATATTATTATTAATTATTATATTTGATTTATATTCAATTGTTCCATTTCTAATTATATTATTATTTAATATAAATGTTTCTGTATCATCATAAATAATTAATTTATTTAATTTATGTGCCATAAATAATAAAGTATTATTATCAAAAAATTTTCTGTAATTTTCTTGTTTAATTAAATCACAAATCTAAATTGAAAAAAAAATTATTATTAATATTAAACAAACAAAAATATTTTAAATTAAAAGTTTAACTTCATAAGCAGCAAGTATTCCTTTTTTATGTGTTATTCGTCCTGGAAAACCTTGTCCTAATAGACGATCATTAATATTATATTTATTATTATCTTCTAATATAAATGATAAACCATATGTTGGAATACTCATTATTAATTTATCTTTTGATATACCATAGGAAAGAATTCGAGTAAGAATTGAATTCTATATATAAATAATAAAATATTAACTTTTTTTTTTATAAATAAATTTTATTCTACTAACCATTGAAAAAAAAGTTAAATTTAATTTTAAATTATCTTTATTAATATAATAAATACTATTCCATGGTTTTAGTTCTTGAAAATGTTCTGTTGATTTCTGATCAAATGGAAGAATAATAATATAATCAACTAGACTAATTATATTTAGAATTAAGAAAACAAATAATTTATTTAAATATTTAAATATCTATATTAACTAACTTATTTAATTTAATTAAATTATAATATTCATATATTATATATTGATTTGGTTCAATTTGAAATGATATTGTTAACAAATATTTATTCGATAATATTGATCTTATTAACTATAATTAACAAAATAAGTTTTTTTATCTTATTATTAAATAAATAACTATACATGAAATTTTTCAATAATATCATTTGAAATTCTTTTTAAATTAATATTAAAACCATATATTTGTCTATTTGTTAATTTATTTATAAATTGATTAATAATATTAATTTGATTTATATTAATAGTAAGAATTATTTTTAATTTATTATATGTTGATATTGATATTGATTTATATAAAAGAGTATTATTATAATCAATTAATAAATACATACAAATATTTTCTTTTATTTTATCCAATCTAAAACTATTTAAACCATAATATTTATCTGCATTTGAACTTACTGAACAAAATAACACTTTTTCATTTGATTTTTCTTTTAAATCATTTAAAGAATTTTCATCTAAAATAAAAATAACAAATAACAAATAACAAATGTTTAAATATTAATTAAAAAATCATACTAGATTGTTTATTTATATTTAAATGTAAAACATTTGCAATTGTATTTAATAATGGATAAAAACCTTTTCCACATAAACGATATATATCATCCATATCTAACCATGATAATGTTATACCAAATAAACCTTCCAATTTAGCAAAACGAGCCTTTTTACAAAACAATATATATATATATATTAATTATATTCTATATGAAATATTCGAATTCGAAATAAAAATTTTCATTCTAGTCAAATTTTATTCAAATAAAATAATATTAAAACTTGAAAAATTTCTTTTGTTAATATAATATAGAAATTTCATAGATAACTATTGTTTAGTTCATCTTGAAAATATTTTAAAAGTTAATAATAGATTTTTAATGATTTCTATAGGGAATTTCTTATCAAAAAAATCGAATTTTTTTCAATAAATTCAATTTAAAAAAATCTTTTCAAAGATTTTCTGTAAATAATTCTATAAAAATAAAATGTTTACTTTTATTTTAATATCATCAATTGTATCAAATATGATCATTTCTTTTCTTTTTAAATTAAATAAATATGATGAATAAGTTATATTATCAGATTTTTCAATTAAATCATTTCTTTTTAATAATTTACAAATCTAAAATAATTAAATTAAATTAAATTAAATAAGAAAAAAGAAACAAACATGTGAATAAGGTAATATATTTGATAAATAAATAGGTGATGATGGAATAATATATTGATTATAATGATTAAATTGAAAAACCCGTCCATATGTTAGTACAGATATTGTTTGTTTTTTAATAGATAAACCAAGAGTTTGAATATAATTCATAATTGAATTCTATTAAAGGAATATAATATTAGACTTTTTTTTTGTTAATTTAATTAAATAAATATATTATTTACAATATAATTAAATTGATAATTATATCGGGGATTTTCAAATGAATTAAATCGATTAATTAAATTAGTTTTATTTATAATTGTCCAATCGATAACCATTACACGAATAAAATTAACCATTCTTAAATTAATTTAATTAAAGAGAGAATAAATTAATGAAAATAATTTACTTTGATATTATATTTAAATCATAATAATTATCAATAATACGTTTTTCTCCACTTATACCAATTGATAATGAATATTTATTTGATAGAAATAAATAACCTAATTCCTATTTTGGAGTTTTTCGGATAACAAAAAAGAAAAAGAAAAAAATAAAATTTGATATTAACATACTAAAAGCCAATTTGTTAATATATGTTTATCTGTAAATGAATATATTTGATCAATATCTATATTCCAATCAATATCTATTATTTAATAAAATAATCATTCTATTTTTTTTTTGTTTCTAAATAAATCTAATAAATAAAAATTGTTTTTCGATACAAACCAAGTCCATCAAAAGTAAAATCAATTAAATATTGTTCGATTTTTTTATTTAATTTATTTCTTTGTTGATCATTACGAAGTAAATCGAAATGTTTCGAATTCCATTGACCAAGTATTGAATAATATATTTTTAAATTTTCATTTTTTATTTTCATTAATCTTAATTGTTTAACTAAAAATAAATAAATATTTATATTTATAAGAAAATAATAATCAATATATAAACTTTAAATAAAAAAATAAAAATAAAAACGAACGAATATCTGATGAAATAGTGGATTGAAATAAATCAATATCTATTGATAATAAATCTCGTTCAATTATAATTAAATATGAACATAAATAAATGTTGTTAACATTATTCAACATTAATTTATTGATTCTTGTCATACAAACAATTGATTGAGATAAACCTAAATTAATACTTTTTTTTTAATTTTTCAATAAAATAAATATTTTACTAAAACAAAACAAAAATTTTCTATACTTAATCCGAATTCGAATAAATATCATCGAAATTCGATCTTGATCAGATTCATTTTTATTTATTTATAATTATTTTTTTTCATATATTTTCAATAATTCGACTAATAGTCGACATTTAAACAAAACATTTTTTAGAATTAATTTAGATTAAATTAAAAAGTTTTAATATATTTGTTGATTGATTATTCTTTAGTCGATTATTAGGATGTTCTCTTTTATTATCTATTATCATTAATTTAACATATATCTATCAAAGACTTCGGAATACTAGACTTCTCTTTTTATTTTTTTATTTTTTTTAAACATCTATATATATAATGTTCAGTGTCTGTCTGTTTCTCTGTGCCGGATCAAACGTCAAAGATTAAAGGTCACATAAGGCTATAAGGGAAGATCTCTAGGGACATTATATGAGGTACTTATAGGTTCCCAAGGGCTATCCTATGGGGGTATTCATAGGCCCTGAAGGGAGTAAGGCAATAGAGAGATAAGGCTGCATGGACTATAAAAATATATGCGATATGAGAGTATGAGGTTGTAGGGCAACCTATCTATATATATAATATCGAGTGTCTGTATGTATTTTACTGGATGAAAAGTTAAATGTTTGAGGTGATACATTAAAGGAGAAAACAGCCGTGCAATATGCACGGGTTCTCGCTAGTTTATCAATATTTCGAAGAAAGAATATTGTTCAATTTAAATTGAAACATGTCAACTTGATTATAAACAAAGGAAAATTTTGAAAGAAAAAAACTTGTATAATAAAATAAATTTACTATTTGTAGGTGATGATGATCTTGTTGAAGATGATGTCAAAGAAGATAATGTATTTGATTTAAATGTTGAAGTAGATTCACTAGTTAATATTGTAGAATATATTTGAGAATTAATTGTTGAAGAATTTAATATAGGATTTAATTGAATTTTTGAACGAATAAGATTAACAGCTTTAGTCATTAGAGGATATTTTCCTTGATTACAATAACTACCAGTAAAGTCATCAAGATCTGTTGACCAAAACATTATTCCTGCTAAACCCATTTGTTTAACATATTCAATCTATTTAAGAAAATAATTATAAATAAGAGAAAGAGAAAAGTAAAAACCTTATAATCAATTGAATAAATATCATCATATCCAACCCATTCTTCATCTTTATAAGCATAATTTGATTTTTGTTCTTGATCAAATATTTTGGTCCAACCTTGTTGTTTAATACGTGTACAGATTTCATAATAAGCTAAAAATCCTTGTTCATTTGTATATAAACCAGCATTACCTTAAATAAATTTATTTAAGAAATTCTCAAAATAACAATCGAATATAAAAACCTGCTCCAACAGTTGGTGAACCAATAGAATTCTTCATTGAATTAGCTAATCGAAATGTTCGACCATAAAGTGCTAAACCCATAACAATTTTCGATGAAGAACAACCATTATTTATCCAATATCTAACAGACCAATCTTGTGTTAATTCTTTATCGAATTGATTATCATTTTGACGACTATATAATGGTACATGAATACCAGTTTTAGTTTCCCATGAACTTTTTTTTTATAAAAAGAAAAATTTTAATTTAAAATAAATAAAATCATCTTATCTTGACTAACCCATGTAAATCATAGGACATTAAATTAACAAAATCAAGAATTTGACAAACTTTATCTATTTCATAAGCTCCATCAATTGTTGATTTTCCAGCAGCAACAGCTGCTGTTAATAAATAATTAAATGGACGAAAAGCTTTTTTAAGTTGAATTAATAAATTAGTAAAATGTTGTTTATCAGTTGGTGTTGAACCTTGACGTGAACCAGGATATTCCTTTAATAATATAAATAATAATAATAAGAAAAATATTATTATTATGTTTAAATCGTTTACCCAATCAAGATCAAGTCCATCAAATTGATGTTTTTCTAAAAATTTAATTGTTGTTTGAATAAAATAATTTTGTTGTGTTTGATTATGAACCATTTGAGAAAAAGAATAACTTCCATGATTCCATCCACCAAGTCCAAGTAAAATTTTTAATTTATTTGTTTTACGTAAATTAATTATTCTTTGATACATACCTATTGACCATGGACTACTTTCATCATTCCATTCATATGGATTTATACGAGAATTTTCGACTTTTGCAAATGCATATATTATATGAGTACAAAGATTTATATCAATATATTCAGGATAAAATTGACCTTTACCATGACGATATTGAGACCAATTTGTATAATAACAAATAATAAGAGGTTCTAACAAATAATAACGATAAAAAAAAAAACAAACTAATATTTTAAATTTTAGACCAAAAAAAAAGAAAAAAACACCATTTGTTTTTGAATTATTTTCATTTTGAAATATTTGTGAATGAAGATTTTCTTGATAAGATGAAATATGTTTATAAATATAAGTTGAATTCGATTTTTCTCTGATATTAATAACTAAAATAAAACAAATAAGATATTTAAAATAGAGATTTAACTTGTTCTATCATATTATATTCTTGATGTTTTTATTGAAAATATTTTTTTTAGGAATTTTTTTACTTTTATTTTCGAGAATTATTTCATTTGAATTTTGAAAAGATTGATCTTGATAATTTATTGAAATATTGATCGATAAAACTAAAACTAAGCTAAAAATAATATTCTTTTATATAATTAAATAATTAAATAATAAAATTATTTTTATTTACATGAAAAATACTTTTTCAAACATTTAAACAAAATATTTAAGAAGAATTTTCATTAAATTCTATTTTTTTATTTAACTGAAAGAAAAAAAACTTAGTTCAATCGTAGTAACATAGATATAAACATTGTCAGTAATGTATTCTTATTCTATAATTATCTCTTTAACAAATCAATGCTAAGAGAGCATAAAGAAAGATAATAAAAATCCTTGAGAATAATATTAAATAAGATTTGAATAGAAACAAAAAGTAAATGAAGTGTATCGTCATTATATTAAATAAAGGTCATGGACAAAAGATAAATTCATTGTTATTCTTACTATTCACCAAAGACAAGTCAAGTTTGTTTCGAATATATTCACAACTTCTATCCATGACGTCAATAGATTGATCATTTTAATAATCAATTTATGAAATATTTAGATGAACATATCTATTCACTAGTTTTATTTGTTTTTATCGAGAAAATCAACGAGAATTATAATCAAACTATATTGATAACAGAGAGAAAGAGAGAGAAAATTAAAATAAAGTTTATTATAATAATAATAAGAGTTTTCATTTTATTTTAATAATTTGAAATAAAGCAATATTAGGGAAGTTTTTTTTCATTAAAATCAAATAAATTGAAATTGATTATCTATTATCAAAAAGAAAAAAAAACTAAACAAATGATATAATGAAATAAAGATAATTTTTGTAAAATTGAATTAAAAAAAACTTAATTAGAATTTATTTTTTTCTTGTTTTATTTTATTTGATATAAAACATATTCTAAGATATATTTTTTTAATAGCCAAACAATTTCAATTAAAGTCGAACTCGTAAAAATGTGAGAGATATTAGAAAAAATTCCGTTGTCCTTCTTTAATATAAAAAGTGATGTTAATGATTAGTTTTTTTTGATGATTATATTTATTTCGAGAATGAAAAAAAATATTATTTTTGTTTTATTTTAAATAGTTTTAATTCAATTGTTAATAATATTATTTATTTTTAATAAAAAAATTATTTAAATATATGAAATATAATTATGAATATTTAACAAAAAATTGTAGAAATCTTGAGAATAAATAAAATATTTATTCAAAAAATTATTTATCTATTCAGCATAAAAAAATTTAATAAATGAAACAATTTCACAAATTAGAATTTTTAATCGGAAAGATCATGAAACATTAGTCAATTTGTCTTATTATCGTTGAATATATTATCTTAATGTCAATATATTACAATACAAATACGAATTATTAATCATCAATTAATTACAACTTCTATACATCAGTTTATTAAACAATTTGGTCTAGAAGAAGAAGAAGAATTTTAACAGATTTTTCATTAAAAAAAGACTAGTCTGGAAAAGAAAATCGATAAGATTATTGATATTTCCTATATATATTGATGAAGAATATTTTCAGAAAGTTTTATTTTCGTGTATTTTTTCATCGATGGTAATAACTAGAAGAAATATGAAAAAAAAACAACAAAGATTTGATTAAACAAGACGATTTGATATGAAGATTGATGTATCTGAAAATT